AAAAGAGGGAAAATTCAAACGAACTAAAAACGAACAATTGCTTTACTCCGAATTGCCGCTATTTGAAAGTGAAAGTAAAAGTAAAACGCGCGCACAGCTTTTACAAGCTATTTAAAAGCGAAGGAAAGCGAGGAAAAGAAGGAACGCCCCGCGGTGATACCGGTATTACCGGTGTTGTCACACGTCGATTAACCGGTGGGAAAATTTCCTCACCGTCACAACCCTAATCCCCGCTGCCATTTTGAAGTGCGTTCCACTTCGTGAAGTGGACGAGGTAAGTTTATATGGACAGACCCTCGACCCTTCGATTTTGACTGAGGGAGCGAGTCTGCTTCATATGCACACTTCAGGCCGCTCCACAGACCACAATGCAACACGATTGTGACAGATCGCGATTAATTTATCCCCACCCCATACAACTCTATAATATATAAATGATTTTTTAAAACATTTATAACAGCCCAAGCATACCTATATACATATAGAATGCTGCACCAAACAAATTCAAAATAAAATAAAAAAACAGGGGAAAAATGTAAACAATAAACCAACTGTATAGCGGATTCTAAGTGATCAAGGGCTTGGGATGTTCCAGTTCAGCCCATTGTAAGGGTTCTTCTAGAAGTGGGCACTCATGCAACGTAATCAATGACGTACATCCGAGTGAACGAGACGGAGGGCAGTTTGCGAGTGAAGGGCATAAAAAAATGAACTGGAACGCAGCCCTGGTGTCTTACCTTAGACCCGTCCTGAGTGAACTGTCATCAGTCCGCCATTGTTTCACCGCCGGAGCAGATGTAGACAAGAATGGATCCTAAGCGATTTAGGTGTTCTGTTGTTGGATGTAATAATGAACATAGCAGTCGTCATTTACTCCCAACATCTGAGCCGCTGAGCCCCCGATCTACCTTAATGCGTATACGTTTGCGCGAATCATTTGTGATCCAGCTTCACCTACAGAAGAAGTGAGTATACATTTTTTTTATGAATCTTTGCAAATCGCCTTTCCTAATACCGTGCTAGTTAGCAAGTTTCATGATGAATGCAGCTAAAGTTTACCGTCTCTCAGAGAGCTGCTCGGAAGAGAGGGGCGGGGTGAGCAGAGCTCATTTGCATTTAAAGCGACATGCAAGAAAACGGTTTGCTCTGAAAAGAGCTGTTTTTGACAAGGTAAAAAGGGTGTTGTTTTACAAACCACAACAAACTCTGACATAATCTGACCTGGCCACGAACCATTGCCATGACAATGCGGCAAAACGGCAAGTAGGTGCTGGGCGCGCTTAGGAAAATAACTTTAAAAATGGCAGGGTTCTGGACAAACCCGCAGGTTTCTGGACAAACCAGAAAGAGGAACAGTTTTTGGATCTTTGGGAGGAGAGGCCAGAGCTTTATGCGGTGGGTGTGGCCGAGTATACCAACCGCAACGCGAGGGGGAATGCGATCAGATATCGCTACAGCGCTTGGGAAATTTCACAACGGAAATTTATTTGACAATATATTATTATTATAATAAAACTGCCTTACAATATTACCATGGTTACACAGTTGTGGGTCGCAATTGCGTTTCAATGGAGTGTCTTAGCAAGCAAATGGTTGCAAAGTTGTTTGGTAAACGGGCTTGCACTAAAATGCTACAAAGTAACGTTAACTGATTGAGGTTTTGTAGCTTGCTCAGTGTGAATTTAAACTTGCAACACACGGCATTCCTTTGTCATCTTTAATATTCTGTTTATGTAGACAAGATGAGCCAGTTATTTAGATATAGTTGTGATGACAGACGTGATGATAAAGAGCAGGAGCAAGAAGAGGAAGAACAAGAAAGGGAAGAGGAGGAGGAAGAGGTCCAGCCTAAAGGGAAAAAAAGGCGTAGTAAAAGAAGATATTCATCTGATCCTGCACAAGCCCAAGACCTTGCCATTCTTGGGGCAATAAATGAAACCCTAAAAGTCCTGACAGAGAAGCACCAGAATCTGCAGCCACCCAAAAATGACAGCATATATGCCTTTTGTCAGTATATAGAGCATCAGTTAAGATCAATAGAAGACCCACACCACCTACAATACATACAATTTCAAATACATCAAATACTATTGTCCCCTCGCCCTTCTTCAAGCCAGTATGCAGCTCCATATTTACATCCGTTGTAGTCCCTAAATCACTTAATTGCATCTAAAGTCCCAATTTTTTATTATTATTACTATTATTATTAGGGCTGGTAAATGTTCAGGTCTCACTCTGTGTGTTTGTACTGTATGTTTGTTCGTTTGTATAGGCCTATAGTTATACCTGCATGTATTTCTAAGTTTACCTAGTTTTATGGTCTCCCAGATATTTTAAAGTAAGTATTTAAATTAGTAATTGACACTAATAAAGAATCACTTTTTTAAAGTATAGTTTCGTTTGTATAGGCCTATAGTTATACCTGCATGTATTTCTAAGTTTACCTAGTTTTATGGTCTCCCAGATATTTTAAAGTAAGTATTTAAATTAGTAATTGACACTAATAAAGAATCACTTTTTTAAAGTATAGTTTTTATTCTTGTGTCTTTCCAAAAAGGGTATTTTGTTTTGTTCCCAAACCTATATAGAAAATGAAAAATATTCTTAATAGCAGAAAGAAATGTACCATTTAATAACAGCTTGAGCAGTCTTTATAAGCAGATTGAGATGTTGTAAACAACATGCATTTATATACTACTGTGCATTAATCTCTGTGCATAGTTTACCCTGATGAAAATAAATTAACCATGGTTTAATTATAGTAAAAACATTTTATTTATTTGTTTGTTTATTTTTGGCGTATCGATTGCCACTTGTATTTTTATTTGCAGTAATACCCTGGTTAATTTTCGTAAGGGTAGCGCTGACCCTATTATTGAACTATGTAGCGCTAACAGCACTGGCTTGGGTGTTAGGGGAAGTCGTGGCCTAATGGTTAGAGAGTCGGACTCATAACCCAAGGTTGCGGGTTCGAGTCTCGTACCGGCAGGGATTGTAGGTGGGGGGAGTGAATGTACAGCGCTCTC